TACTATTTCTGTCCTTTATTGTGCTCATCTTTGCATGAAATGTTCCTTGGTATCTCTAATTTTCTTGGAGAGATCTCTAGTCTTTCCCATTCTATTGTGTTCTTCCATTTCTTTGCACTGATAGCTGAGGGAGGCTTTCTTATCTCTCCTAGGTATCCTTTGGAACTCTGCATTCAAATGGGTATATCTTTTCCTTTCTCTTTTGCCTTTCACTTCTTTTCTTTTCTCAGCTATTTGTAAGGCCTCCTCAGACAGCCATTTTGACTTTTTGCATTTCTTTTCCTTGGGCATGGTCTTGATCACTGCCTCCTGTACAATGTCATAAACCTCTATCCATTGTTCTTCAGGAGCTCTGTCTATCAGATCTAATCCTTTGAATCTTTTTGTCACTTCCACTGTATAATCATACAGGATTTGATTTAGGTCATACTGAATGGTCTAGTGGTTTTCCCTACTTTCTTCAATTTAAGTCTGAATTTGGCAATAAGGAGTTCATGATCTGAGCCACAGTCAGCTCCCAGTCTTGTTTTTGCTGACTGTATAGAGCTTCTCCATCTTTGGCATCAAAGAATATAATCAATCTGATTTTGGTGTTGACCATCTGGTGATGTCCGTATGTAGAGTCTTCTCTTGTGTTGTAGGAAAAGGGTGTTTGCTATGAGCAGTGTGTTCTCTTGGCATAACTCTATTAGCCTTTGCCCCTTTCATTCTGTATTCCAAGGCCAAATTTGCCAGTTACTCCAGGTGTTTCTTGAATTCCTACTTTTGCATTCCAGTCCCCTATAATGAAAAGGACATCTTTTTTGGGTGTTAGTTCTAAAAGGTCTTGTAGGTCTTCATAGAACCATTCAACTTCAGCTTCTTCAGCGTTACTGGTTGGGGCACAGACTTGGATTACCATGATATTGAATGATTTGCCTTGGAAACGAACAGAGATCATTCTGTCATTTTTGAGATTGCATCCAAGTACTGCATTTCGGACTCTTCTGTGGACCATGATGGCTACTCCATTTCTTTTAATGGATTCCTGCCCACAGTAGTAGACATAATGGTCATCTGAGTTAAATTCACCCATTCCAGTCCATTTTAGTTCGCTGATTCCTAGAATGTCGACATTCACTCTTGCCATCTTCTGTATGACCACTTCCAATTTGCCTTGATTCATGGACCTAACATTCCATGTCCCTAAGCAATATTGCTCTTTACAGCATCAGACATGCTTCTACCACCAGTCACATCCACAACTGGGTATTGTTTTTGGTTTGGCTCTAACCCTTCATTCTTTCTGGAGTTATTTCTCCACTTATCTCCAGTAGCATACTGGGCACCTACCAACCTGGGGAGTTCCTTTTTCAGTATCCTATCATTTTGCCTTTTCATACTGTTCACGGGGTTCTCAAGGCAAGAAAACTGAAGTGGTTTGCCATTCCCTTCTCCAGTGGACCACATTCTGTCAGACCTCTCCACTATGACCCATCTGTCTTGGGTGGTCCCACACAGCATGGCTTAGTTTCTTTGAGTTAGACAAGACTGTGGTCCATGTGATCAGATTGCCTAGTTTTCTGTTGACATTTATAGGTCTTTATAAACATAGTAAAATTATTTCTCTGTGAGGTAGCTGCTATAGTCTGGGCTGGAAATGCAAGTTGGCCATCCTGACGGACAGAACTTCCAGTTCAGAGGCTTTCATATTTTTTTCTGCTGCATATTTCTATCAAATGAATGTTTTTGATTATGCATTCCATTATACACACATATATTTATAAATTATATGTATGTATTACTATACTGTTATACTAATATATTGCATTCATTGGTAAATATATAAAAATAGTAATCAAAAATAGATGAAAATAAAAATACACATATTTCTTTCTGAACTCCAGTGAATTGTTTCTACATTCCCTGGGTACATCCATTCTTTTTGGAGGTCACTACTCTAGCTTATTAGAGAGGATCAATGGCTGAATAGGAACAAAGAAAATCATCAAGGAAGGCAATGTTAAGCTATCAGAAGAGGCTATTTGAAGTGAGAAGTGCCAATGAACAGAAAGTGGAACTGTATTAACTTCCTCAAATTCTCTTAGCACAGCACAGTTCTAAGAGTATTAGGAAACAGGAAGCAGTCTGAACTAAGAAGGGATAGAGTGCCTCTAAATGAGGGAGTCTATGTGACTTCTCCTAGGTGAAAGCAGAGCTTACTGTTTAATACAAGGGCTTCCCAGGGTGTGAGTGGCAAAGAATCCTCCTGCCAATGCAGGAGATGCAAGATATTTGACTTAATGTATCAAAAGCATGCATTTAATGTGGCCATTTAAAAGCAATGTATCTTTATTAATTGCTATGGTTTCCCTAGGAAAATAACTTTGGAAACCCATGTAGGAAATCTTATCTCCATTCAAATTTATGAAAAAGAAGTGTCACTGTAAATTAGAACAACTAAATAATAGAGAAATAATGACAAAGACTATGATTTATGACCGTCACTTCCTCTTTCTGAAACTTTAACAAATATTTATAAAGCATCTACTTATGTTCTATCCATAAAAGAATGAATTATGACACCCTGTCAGAGATAAAAATTCCTTCCACCAACATCAGAAAGAAAATATTTAGATGGAACCTTGCCATCTAATCCAAAAATGGTTTATACTGCTTCCTACGACCTGTGGCTTTTCTTCCAAAAAACAAATAATTCAAACTAAAAGCACAGTCCTTTATTCATGTGTAAAAACTTATGTCAATGGAATAAAAAAGGTTGAGGTGATAAAGTAGCTATGTGAGTTAACCAGAGAATTCTGTTTTCTACTACAGATAAAATCCTGACACAACTATTAATAAAGTCAGCAACAAACTTGCCTAAATATTCTTCAAATTCCTGATAACCGACAAGAAAACTCAGCTGAGAGATAATCTGAGAAAAAAAATTTCAAAACTTTCTCAATTTTTTGCTGTTGAGAAAAGATAAAAATTCTATGTTGGGGAACACAGAGGAGTCTTTAAAGGGACTTTCTCATCCATCTGAACTCTGTCTGCTCAGAAAGTTGGAAAAGGCATGAAAAATAAACTAAAACTAAAAAGTCAACCAAAAAACAAATAACCTGAGAGACTTTTACTATCTTCAAAAATAAGCATTTTTCTTCAGAGCTCTGAATAAACAGAAACTTAAGACTCTTGCGACCTCACGGACTATGTCCATGGAATTTTCCAGGCCAGAATATGGAGTGGGTGGCCTTTCCCTTCTCCAGGGGATCTTCCCAACCCAGGGATCAAACCCAGGTCTCCCGCATTGCGGGCAGATTCTTTACCAGCTGAGCCACAAGGGAAGCCCAAGAATGCTGAAGTGGGTAGCCTATCCCTTCGCCAGTGGACCTTCCTGACCTAGGAATCGAACCGCAGTCTCCTGCATTGCAGGCAGATTCTTTACCAACTGAGCTATGACTTGTTATGTGCTTGCATAAAAGCATATGTGGGAATGCACGATTTTCTGCAAGTTTTTATGATGGCAATCTAAGGATGCTTAAACTAGTAAATTCGCTGCACTCTGAGAAGCAAGTGACTTGTCCTCCCCCTAAGATGGTAGATAATATGGCTGTGACATCTGTCATCCAACTGAAGTTTTAAGTTGGATTTACCCTTTTAGTTATTGCATATCCTCATCTTCCCTTGCAGTTCAAAGTGTATCCCTCCCCAAAAGACAATCTAAGTTGTTAGAGAACAGTCTTCTCTAAGTAAACTTCATGAGATAAAATCATACAGCAGACAGTTTCTAGTAGTTTAGGAGGCTGTGGCAACCTCACATATTTTCTGAATAATTTAACTAATTTTTTTCCAAAATATGTATCAAAGTGAAAGGCCTTTGTTAACTGCTTACTTGTTATTGTCTTTGTTAAGTCTGTTCTTCAGATGATACTGTGGCATTCAATACTGATGACTTTAACTTAAACCAAATAAGAGAGTATGCAGAAGTATACAAGTATGTTTAAAATCACATCTGTACCCCACTACTTACATCCTGAGAAAGATGACCAGACCAACCCTAGAAATCAGCGATGCAGAAGAGCTAGGGAAGGGAAATTAGTGCACTACTTTTTTCCTCTTTCACGATGTTTATTGAATAATTTCTTTCACTTTGTATGTGTTTGAAATTGAGAATGATTAGATGATTTTTGATAAGTTATTTCTCCTATCCTGATTTCTCTATTTAAATCAGGGTAGATTAATAACATGCATACTGATCAGCATAGACACAAAGTAAATGACACTTTAGGAAGCTAACTCTTGGCCCAATGGTAGAGATTTCTTGATGATATGGGTAATTAAATATAAAGCATGTTCATTAATTTTACAGTATGTAGAGAAGTAATATATTAGTAAGAGAAAGTAGAAATTGTAGAGGAACATGATGAATATCTTTTAGTACCATCCAGCTTTTTGTCTCTGTAGTTTATGTTTAAAATGTATTTGATTTAAAGGTGCACAGTTTTAATGAGCATTATAAATAAAAACATACTTTATTTAAGAAGAAATCCACACAATATAAAATTGATATAGAATAAAATCATCTATACTATGAACATTTGAAATGGGTTTTAAAACAATATCAAAGCATTTACTGTCACTATTTTGATTCCTAGGAATCATTATGCCTATGTTAAACTTTATAAGTATCTAACTGGTATGATATTTAAAAATAAATGACACAAAATCAAAACACTCCCTGCTATTAACATTTCTCATCTGTCTTCAAGAATATTTACTTTTGTTTCATATCCTTACCTTCTGTCTGGAAGAAAGTAAATTTTAACATAAGGATTCCTTGGCCTCCCATCTTCCCTGGAAGGGAGGTCCTTTGCTCCCAAAATTGTAACTATTAATTGGTGACCAACCTTGTCAAACCACAGTTTTATCTGAAAAGCAAAAATATTTATTTATCAGCTTAACCATTTACTAATATAACTGAATGTTTACATTCCCAATCTTTGCCCCATTCTCTTATCCTGATATTAGCATAGAATATAAACTTCACTTAGTAAATTGCAGTTAACTTAAAAGGATATGCTATAATAACTTCAATGAATGGAGAATTTAATTCAGATATTTTAGTTTGACAAATTTCTTGAAATTTTTATAATCTAATTTGATAGCTTATAAACATGCACATAATAATTACACTGCCATAATAAGGACTTTATATAGGATTGTTCTGTGTCTAAATTTATGCAGGAGTCTCTGTAGTTCATTTTGGTTCCCCTACAATACTGAGTTCAGAATAAGCGTTCAAAATGAACTGAACAGATAAGTTGCTCATATGGCATTCATGGGAATATTTTCAGCAAATGTTTTATGTTATATCACAGCAAAGATCTTTCGAAGATTATAAGTAACTGGGAATTACTAGAAGATTTAGTAAACAGACTGCTTAAATTTGTATTTAAAGCTATAATAAATTCATCTTATAAGTTTTTTATACATAGTCTCTTTTTCATTTGTGAAGCAAATGTATTCATCCTTAGAATAAAAGGGTATATTTTATAATTCAAGATAGGAAAATTAGAATAATTTGCCTGTGTCATAGTTAAGGATTAGATCTTCACATCCAGTTGTTGAATTCATTAGACTTAACAACTGTCGCCTCCCACACACATCTCACACTCCCACACCTAGTTATGATGACTATGATTCTGATTTACATTTGATTCAGAATTCAGCACATCCCTGGCCACTATCTTCAAAATAAAATTGAATTGGAAATTTGGAGCTTGGGGAAAAGTTTTGTTTACATAATATGCATATTTTATTTTCAATTGTTTGATTTTTTTCTTTTAATTTGGATGCGCAATGTTTCCATTAGCTTGGAAGACTTAAATATATATCTCATGTCAGTCCCTTCCTCTCCGCTCCAAAGCAGGCAGTCAATGCTGGGCCAAGCTCTAGGCTATATAGATATAGACCATCCACATAAAAAAATATAAAGATAAATATATATATGATATGTTAGTAGTTCAGTTCCTATTCTAACATGGTGTTGTTGAGTCCCTCACTTCATATCCCAAGAGGATGAGAGGCCAAGCAAGAATTTTGAGTCAAAAGACTAATGGCCCAGAAAAGTATATAAAATTATTTATACATTTTTTTGGTTAAATGAAATTAACCCTCTTATAAGAGTAATTATTAGAAATGCTTAAATTTTACAAATGATAGCACTACTCTTTATATTAAGTCCTTATGTTTAATGCAGGTATTATCTTGAGGCTCTATAACAAAAACTTTTTTGAACTGACATGCTAAGTACAGACCCTAGTCAAGTGGTTTTCAAACTGTGGTTCATAAAACTCCTGCAACAGTATTATCTGACTCATCTGTTTAAAAGTTACAAATTCCTGTGGCCCACCTTTCAGCTACAGAACCAGAAAGGGGCCCAGAAAATTTGCATTTTAACAAATCCTCAGGTGATTCTCATTTCCATTAAAGTTTGAGAACCACTGCCTTAGACTAGGGAAGCAACAACCTGGAAAAAAAGCATCTGATATTTAAGTTGAAAAAAAAAAAAAAGTTCAGCACCTGAAACTAACTGCAACATTAAAAACTATACTCCAATACAAAATTTTTAGAAATTACTATTAAAAAAAGAAAAAAGTTCAAGTATTTCTTGCCCGACAATATTAAAACAAAGATATAGATGAGAAGAGATGGAAAAAAGAGACTTTCAGGCAAAAGATATGAGCGGGAAGAAAAAAGTAAGAAATACAAGAGTGTTTCATACATGAGATGAAACAAATGTCAGAAAGATTTGAAGTTCCTCTAAGTTTGTGACCAAATCACACTACTTTCTATATTCTTTATTTTCTATAGCAATTATTTTCTATATTTTTTCTATAGATTTTTTCTATATAATTTTCTATATATTTTCTATAGCTTTATTTTCCATGAGGTTAAAAATCCTTCTCGGAGCATCATGACATCAATATTATACACTTCAAAAAAGAAAAAACTTCTGAAAGACTACATAATTGTTTTCCAATAAATAGTGCATTTAAATAACAAAGGAAAATAATATTAGACTAAATTCATAATTAATTATTGGAGCAAATTGCTGATTTCTGTATTTTTTTAGGGATTGAGACTAATCCTTTGTTGTCATCTCCACAGGCAGTATTTTTGCTCTTTTAAAACCATTACAGCTAAATCTTAAGATATATATTTCAAATGCCTGATAAATAGTACTATTTTTAATGGAAATAAAATTTCCATTAATAAAAAATATCATTTATTAATAATATTCATTCCACACAAACAGATATTAGGTACTAGCTTTCATATTTTCATATGAATACTTTATAGTTTATTAAATTATACTTTACAGATATGTAAATATGAAAATAATATAGATATGAAATAGGCATACTTTGTACTGATTTTTTGATGAAAATTTTATGTTTTAATAAACTGTCAAATGGGGCATTTGATCAATAGCCCTAATTTTCATTTTATATTATGGGACTTGCTTTGAAGTTTTTAATAGATATTTAGCTCACAGTATCAAAACAAAACTATTTTATTTGCTAGATTATTACTCACATTCTTAATTGTGCTTTTTAAATGAATCATTGGAATATATCTGCTGATTCCTCAAAATAAAACAAATATACTTCCACAGTTCTAAATATGATATACTTTACTTTACATCATTTTCATTAATAAAAACATTGATATCATTTTACTTGCTTTAATACACTTTTCATGTGCCACTTTTAAGTTTCCCAAGCAGAATCTGAGCAATCTAAGTAAATACTTTACACTAGATAGTGTTAACTAGAACTTCAGTTTTTTTTAATTTAAATTAAATTAGCATTATTGAAAACCAACAACAATAACCAAAAAAAAAACCCAAAAAAACCCATGCAGCAAAGCAAGAAAAGCATAATACTACTTTTTAAAAAACACTATATTGACATTACTTTTCCGTATAAGGGTTTCCTAATGAAAAGAGGCAAAGAACTTGTACCCAAGTATTGCAGTAAAATAAATGGTATTATAATTACATAATGCAAACAAAATAAACCCAAGACACTTTATTTCGATTGTGATTTTGTTCTATCAAAGTCACATAGTTTTCAAAAGCTGAACTCTATATATAATATTCAGAAAATTCATATTTTAGATAAGGTACAAATTTATTTGCCAGTCTCCTCAAGGAGTAATTGCTTGGAAAATGCAAGAGAATGTAGATGTTAAGTGATATAATGAATGATTTAAAGAGACAGTAACCTTAGTGTAGTAAAAATATCAACAGTATAAAATCAGCTATTTATGTCAATATTACAGATATAAGTGGAATATACATTAAATGCCAACCTGAAACATGAGTTTTAGTATTCAGTCCATCATATAAAATTACTAACAAAGATTGTCTCTTTAAATTTTTACTTTATTTTAATCCCCATGCAGAATTTTACAAGCTGGTTCATAAAATGATTTGGAAGTCAATAATATGGTTTGGAGCAACATACCAAATTAAGTTTTCCTACTACGCATTTTCCAAAAACATACAAATAAGGGTTAAAACACAATTTTAGATTCTATCAGGCAGACAAGGCCTTTACCTGAACCCTAGGAACAAAAGGCGTTGTTCTTCTACTAAGGCTTTGGCTCTGGTAAGCAAAATTAAAGAAAAAAGCAATAAAACAAAACCAAAAAGGACAACACGCTGGAACTAAAAGACCAAAAGTAAAAAACACATACAACTATCCCTTAAATACATTTTTCCATGACAATATATATCTAAATTAAGTACTTCAACATAATGAATAATTTTTTCAAAATTATAGAATAGATTAAGAACTATATAAAATCTGAGAAGTTTTAAATCAGATTTTTTAATGTATCAACATAACAGGTATTAAGACAATGTAAAATAATATAATTGGGCTCATGTATTATGAAAGAATGAGTGTAAATATAAAATACAAGAGTCTAGATATCTCAGATATCATCCTTAAACACACTACATAGAAAAAAATATAGTCCAAGAAGAAGTTAGACAAAAACACATTAAAGAATTATTAAAAAGTCATCTGTAGAAGTAATTATATAACTTTCAAAAGGAATATGGCTAACAAAAATCTAAAAAATATTAGCCAAGTGAGCTTTATCATTTCTTAAGAGAATAAACACAGAATGATAAAAGTGTGCTGGAACACACTGGATTAATTCGTTGCTTCATACTTTAAGAATCTATACTAGGCACTAGTATTTAACCATCATTTTCAGACATTTATTGTGTACCACCTGAGATAACACTATTTAGAGCTAATCTTTTTGTTTATACAGTTCTTTATATACTTTCAAGCTTTCAATAACAGTTTATTGCAAGTTTATTGCCTAAAACAACACTAGGAAGTAGTTGTTGTTATCTCCAGTATGTAGATGAGGAAACATAGACACTAAAAAAAGGCCTAGACATACTTGCACAATCTCAAAAAGTAAGACAGTTTCAAAGGTAAATACTAAGCTCAATTCTGGTTAAAACACTCTATTTCAAATTCATAGAATAAAATCAAATTTCTTTTCTCTTCTTTTTTTTTTTTTTTCATTTTGAAACAGCTTCCCAAAGATACCACAACCATTGGAACATTGTGCCTTTATTAAGACATGCCAACAGTTACAAGAGGAACAAAAACCAGATTCAAGTTCCTGGGTTTGGGAATGGATATCAGGGCATTTACTTCTTGTTCTTTCACCAAGACTCTATCCCATCTCTCACATTTTTCATGCATGTCTCTCTTGTTTAATTAACTGTTGTGAACAGTTAAAGGTTTCAGATATTTCCACTGCTATACGGAAACAGATAATAAGTACTAGGAGGACTGCTGTCCAATGTAGCCATCATCAGACAAAACCTGATGATAGTTTAAGACATAATATAAATCCCAAAGGAAAGTGAATCTTTAAAGCAGACTATCATTCAGCCACATGAGTCATCTTTATCTCCGAAAACCAAGACAGTCTCAAATCTCAGTTGTCTTCCCTTTCATGAGCAGACATTTCCAAAGGGAGAAAGGAACATTTAGATATGGAGTATGTTCCTGGTATCTGTCTGCATAACCCTAAGTGGATAATTCTCTAGCCAAAGGGTAAGGGATGTTTGAAATTCGTAGAGATTAGCTAGGCATGCTGAAGAACAGGACTAACAATGCACTCAATTTAGAAATATAGCTTACTTTTCTTGCCTTCCCAACTGTCCTACCTGTTGTTGACCAAAAATATCAAGGTAATGAAAGATTTCTGCAAGTAAATATTACTTCAAAACTAAAACATTTACTTTCAAAGAAATAGTGCTTTGAAATAAAGTAATCCTTTAAGGTCAACATTTTTCCATCTTCCAAAATGACCTCAAATGAGCAACTCATAGATATTTGAAATCAACTGTCTAAAATCTATACCAATATAAACCTAACCTTTACCCACAAGCTTATACATTAAACTTGGCTATGTAAACATATTTTGTTTTGTCAGATTATTTTAAATTGAGGAGAGATTAAAATAACATGCCATTAACCATTTTAAAGTGTACAATTCAGTGGCATTTAGTGAATCCACAATGCTGTGTCACCACCACCTCCTTCTAGTTTCAAAACTTTTTCATCACATCAGAAGAGTCATGAGTCATCACACTCTGTATCTACTAAGTAATCGCTTACCATTTCCCCATTGCCCAAGTTTCTGGCAACTACTAAACTGCTTTCTATATCTATAGATTCTGGATATTTCATCAAAAAATGGTGAAGTATTATGCATCTCATTGCAATTTGTGATAAATATGAATTCATTTATTTTAAGCATGAAATGTCTGATAATATCTGTAACAATTCAGTTTCATACAAATGAAGAATTTGAATTTGTACACCATGATTTATTTTGGATTTTTAATGTCCCTTCATACTTCATCCGGCACTACCAACTTCAGGACCTTCTTCTTACATAATACTTCTAAAATAACATGGTTGTAACAAAGAAATATAAAAGATAAAAGCTCAAAGAAAAAATTTTCATTTATAGAAAGTTTGAAAATGGCTATCGAATTTCTAAGTAGATATAAAGAATACATACCTATTCTTCAGCTACTTAGTCCCTTTAAATGGGCATAAAATGGATATATACAGTATTTACAAGCTCATCACTAAAAATGGAGTCAGAAAAATATTAAAACAAAGTAACTTAGGGAAAAACATTGCAGCTATTAGTTAGCCACAGACTCTGAAGTAAAATAATGATTGTCAATAAGAATTAATGTGTTCCTAGAGACAAAATTCTGAGTTACTTCTCACTTTTGAAATAGTTAAAGGCTATATCTTAATTTAACACTCTATCAAAAAACTAGTCAAAGGCTGAAATTAATTTTAAAATATTGAGAGGATTACAGAAGCAATCCTCCAAACAAGGAAACTGCTAAATTATGGAAGACCACAAATTTAAAATAGAATCAAAATAAGGGATTGCTGACACTGAAAAGACTAACATACAGTCCAAGTGTCATAAACCTAAGCTCATACAGATTTTCTCACCAAACACATTAATGGCACTTTCATGGTTATGCCCAAGAATAATAACAAGCTAGCAGCACAATTCAAGCATGAAGAAATAAATGGAATAATATTTTTAAATTCATCAACAACAGCCTTGTGCATGAAAGTTTAAATAATGTTATATATATATATATCATATATTTGAGAAAATACCAGTCCATGAACCAACATAAATATATTAGGGAGGTCAGCTCACATAATATACAAATTATCTTGTCAGACATTATGCTAGCAGACATTAACAATGTCATAATTTTATAAGTGAGTTATGGACCCAGGTAAAATCTCATTGAAAATCGAAAATATCCCAAGGTAGAACAGAAGGATATAGGAAACATAATGTTGCCTTATGACTTCCTGGGTGTTTCCCTGAAGCATGATATAAGTGGACAAATGTTTTCCCAACCTCTGCATCATTAGAGCAAACCAAAAATTGTCTCCAGTTGGCAAAAATGGTGTTAAATATAAAGGAAAATACTATACCCAGAAGGGTATCTTGCTTAGTTTTGCTTCATGAATAGAATGAAAGCAAAATTAAGTTTCATGAAGGTAAAATCCTCTGCTCATTGCTGTATTCTCTCAGCTACTAGTATTATAACTGATGAGGGGATAGATCTTAACATATATTACTTGAATTGATAATTGTAGTTTAATTTGACAAAAATATGTTGGAGGAAAGTTTTGGCAAGAGATTTCAAGGATCTTAAGCTTTTTTTCTTTCTCATTGTAATTTTCTACCCAGATAAAAATTATTCTGACAAAAGAATTTTGTCCTAACAAAATATGCAAGATTTATATTCAAGGATTTCCATGGCATCATTACTTAAAATACTATAAATTAGAAACAAGCAAGATATCCTATAATAGCAAATTAAGTTAAAATGGAGTATTAAATAGCAATTAAAATCATTTTAGGATGAATTAAAAAAATAAAGGAAAATGATTATGATACATTGAGTAAAAAAAGCAAGTTTTAAAATAGTATACACAGATTTATTATAGTTCTATTTAAAAATTTATATGTATGTAAATGACTATGCTTTAGTGGCAAGAATATAGGTGATTTAAATTTTTTATTATCTGTGCCTCAATTTACCAAAAGAAATATATATCATATTTATAAACATTATCTTGCTGGAACACACTTCTTCTAGGTCATAAAAAATGATAAAATGGAACACATGTTAAATTACCATTATATACATTTTAAACCTTCACTTACAAACACAAGTACTATATACATTTAAGTTTGTGTTTTCTCCAAATATTTAATAGTCTTACCTTTCTACCAAATTCACTTTGAACCATGAAGAAAAGTAGTTGAATTTGAAATCTGTCTAAATGCTCATACTATGAACCCTCTGTTCCTAGTTCAATTTCTAATATAACCTTGAGATTTCAAAAGAGGCAGCAACAAAGTGGTACTTACTTATTATGGGAGTCTAACGTCCACTCCCTCATTCACCGCCTGAAGCTAAGTACACACACACACACTCTCACACACACACACAGATTGAATACATACTGGCATCATCAGCCACCCAGTGCTTTACTTATAGATGAAAGGAAGCCAAGATTAAAAATTAAAAGCCAACATTTACTAACACTTTCTAAACTGGTGGAAGAAAATACACATATACTTGTAACCATAAATGTCAACATCTGTGCTGTCAATGTATGTAAGAGAATAAGTAGAAAGATGCTACTTATTGTGGAAAATGGAAAAAACACCACTGTCCTCAAATGAAAAAGTTCACTCTGTTTATGAAAGAGAAAGGAAAACAATAAAGAGAAGAAATCGATTTTAGTAAGACATTTACAATCTCCTAATAGTATTTCATATTTTGTTTTTCTCATGTTTGTGATTAAAGTAGTCTCAGAACAGATGTGCCTGATGACTTTTACTATGTTATTTCTGCTTATACTTCCTGTATCTTCATCTAATTCATGGAAACTCTTAAGAAAAATCAAATACTTCTCCTTCTTCCAGAAAATAAAAGGACAAAATCTGTACCTAATTTAACAAAGCTAGAAATTGCTTTTAAATTAGACCAAGTACAGTTTTGCTTTTAACTATAACAGTAACAATTATCCAAAATTCGATGTCTGAATTTGGAGAATCTAAAGAGTTCTTAATACTCATAAAATTTCAGGTTAGTAACTCATCAGAATTAGTATCAATATTAATCTGTTTGTTTCTAAAATATAAGTGGATACATTTTAACATTTTTAAATGGTTTAAAAGAGAATGAGAACTTTAGAAATTAATAAAATGTGAGAGCCTAAATTTGCAAAGCTCTTCTAATATGGGTACAAGATGGATAACTTAATTTTTAACTTTTTTATAAAATGTTCAAATTAGGGGTCACTTAATATGAAAGCCACATGATATAGTCAGTAATCTATTACATATTTCCCCATTTTCTTAGCTGAGCAAAAATCATGACCTTGAATTTTGGAATAACATTACTTACTGAAAAAGGTTTTAGATAGCATCACAAATCCTAATTCCCACCAAATTCCAGAAAAATCTAGCTCTAATAAAGAAAGCATTCTGTTAGATAATTATAATCAAATTTAAATTAATTAAAATTACTAAGAATGACAAAGTTGACGGTGAAAAACACAATTATATTCTAAATAGGACTTGGTTCACAAAAAAAATGGCATCATATAGTAAAAATACTACTTGATATCCCAAAAAGAGAAATTAATCTAGTGATTACATACTGAAAGTTGTCCAGATAAGAACTGTGGAACATCCCTCAACATGCCAGGACTCATGGGAGATGTAACAGAAATAGAAGGACGATCCATTTTTTGAGATTCGAATGAGCTAGAACCTGAAATGGCAATTATACACAAAGAATAACAACAATGATTCTTCATTAGTATTTAATCATCTTTACCATATATCTTGTTATTTTTAATACCTACAAAATTCCATTATATAGACCTTTTTCTTAGCCACAATGTTCTAAATATACTTAAAGGGTTTCTTTAAAAGCGTAAGTGCAGTTTAGGGATTCTTGAAAGACCAAGGGTGAACCATTTTCTGTGCCAATTATAGTAGAGACAGACATCAGAACCTAGTTACTTCATCTGTTGTGTGCTCTAAACTCATATCTTACAATAATATACTAGAATTTTAAAAATAGAAACTTAAGAAGGAAAAACCCAAGCCAAAACCTAAATCAATAAAGCAACTCAAACATGGTTTAAACTTGTAATGCTAAAAATGAAATTACTAGAATATTAACTGTGAAAAGTTTTCAGCAGTGGTTTTTAACCATATCTGGAAGGATATAATAAATTAGATGGGTAAAAAGAAAGTGAGGAGCTATGAAAAAAAGATATAGGAGAGCAGAAAAAGCAGAACTTCAGTACCCAGAAGTTATATGTATGAATTTATTTGTATGGAGAGGAATGAACCAATTGCAAAGTGAATAAAATGGGGCTAATGAGATGCTGACAGAATTAAATGCCTGGAATTCTGGGCTACAAATTTTGGCACTAATAAAATATCCATGCTAAATCTTTATGAGTAAGGTAATAAAAACTGCATTTGAGGAAGATGTCTTTACCATTCATTTAAAGTGTCTGAATTGAGCAAGATGAAAAATAGTTAAGAATAAGTGGAATTCAATAAAATATAAAAAGAATAGGAATGACTGGAAAATGGACTGACAAGAAAGAATTGAGGCAATATCACAAAATTAGAAAATGAGGACTCAAATTAATTAGATATGCAAGATTAAGGAAAAGGGGAGACATGAAGAGTTCAAGTCTTGTAACCAGATATGGTCCCCTATGTCTTGTTCTCCGCACAGGACACAGAGGATATTCCGTGGGTGCAGAACTGTGGAGAAGTTCTGTGTGTAAAGGAATGGTTGGAGAAGTTAATCTGGGACCTGTCACAGTGACCCTGCGACACTGCAGACATCCAAGGGGAAATGTAAGCAGGCAACGGATGTGCAGATGGGACCAAATGTCCAATGGATATTAGTATTAGAAATTAAAATGTAAAGTGTCACCCTAATTGGGGTCCTACGTGGATAGTATTCACTTACAGGGAGAATACAGTGTAAAATGAAGGGGGAAACTATAAGCCTTGGGATCAGAAGTAATGGTGATACCTTCAGAGCATTTAGAAGTGGAAAGAATACTGCCTTTATATTAAGAAATAAGCTAAGCTTCAAGTGACAGGAAGACACTTAGAACACATTCTTCAATATTCTTTAAATATCCAGGGCTGAAGGGACAATGATAGATCATTTTGATAATGTAACTTAGGAGTCATGTGGCAATTAAAATTATATGAAGAGAAAAACTTACTGAGGAACTAAAAATAGAGGCTAAGAATTAGGCCTTGGAGAAAGCTACTCTTCAACTTCTAAAGCAAACAGGATTCAATCTTATTTGAGAAAGGACCCCTGCCCTAACAGAAACAATTTTGGAATTGTAGCCTAGGGGTTTTTCAAATAGCTGCAATAAGATAAAGGATTCCATACTGCTTATACAATATCTGGGTGATGTAAGTGAATAAAAATTTTACCTACATCATAGACTGTTGTGAAAATTAGTATAAGTAACAATATCTAGCACAGTTCCAGGCATCCAAAATAGGAGTGATGATGATGATACCATTATGCTAGTACTTATAAGTTTATGTGATCATATTATTTTCTATGTATATAGAAACTTACCTAACTGTGCATTTTAAATATGTTCAGTTTATAGTAATATACCTTAATACAGCTATCTAAAAAATACATGGTAGTTAAGACAATGTAGTTTAAAAAAATCATCTTAAGATATAGACTTTTGTACTTTTTTACACAATAACATGAAATAATACTAAATCTTCCATCTTTATACAACTGCATATTTGATAACAGTACTATATTTCTTACTTTATATTAATAAATAATTCACTTGACTCAGATGATGAATGACTTTATTAATGACATTTTCTCCTAAAATAAATGAAACTTACTGGACTCCAGTTGTGTGTGTGTGCTATCAGGTATTCTAGGTATATCTCTGAAATGATAGAAAAAGAAAAAAAAACAAGAAATTGTTTTAATAAGTAGTAGGAACTACTATTATGACAATTATTAATCTATATTATAACAGGACAATGCAAAATGAACAAAACTGTGCATGACAGAAGCATTATATAAATAAGGAGAAAAAAGTCATAGCACTTTATTGCTAATCAAAGTTCTCAGGGCTGACTCCTACTACTTAAAAAAATGAAAAATTACATGCATTTGGGGCAGATTTATGAAAATATACAATTCATTTCCTATGTATTTTACTATACAATTTTCCATTCAAAAAATTTCTATACTCAAAACAAGGTAAGTTTTAGAGATATATTTTAATTATACTCTTCTCTTTACATTGTACCTGCTATTGTTCAAATCAGCTGCATTGAAATTCAAATAAAATATCACCACAATAAAAATTAAAATACTTGGGTTGTGACTGAAATTTTTAAACATAATAATTCTACTAAGAAAAAAGTAAACATGTTTTTATTGGACTTAACATAATTACTCTGTAATGCATTTACACCTAAAGTAGGCACATTTTTGCTTGAGATTTGCCAAAGATGATATATATTAATGGCTAAGCTCATTCAAAAAGTTGCATCAATAATACTTAAATAGTAAACAAAATTGTGATTGGAGAATTCCTTAATACCAAGAAACACATTTATTTAATTAATACCCTAAGGTAATAGTTTAACCATATAGCAAAACTATGAAAAGACAAAATAAAAAATATATATAATTTCATGTGATAGATTCATTACTTTTAAAAGGAACATTTTGAAAATTAAGTTACCAATTGAAGTAATTTCCTTCATGAAAATTTCCTTCATGAAGCAATTTCATCATGAAAAACTCATCCTAAATGACTTAAAACTAGGCATTAGTATTCTTTAAGAAGGAAAAATGTCCAGTTTCTACCCTGGAATACTTTTACACCAGACATGCATTTAATAATTCACTGTTAGTTTATATATTTTTCTATTGCTTTTTTAAGTTATAGGTTTCTCTTTTACATTGGCTTAGAATACAAGCTTCTGTAAAGGAAATACTGCTGCAGTATTTCATGAGTAATTCTAACAACATAATTAAAAAGTAAACATAATTATTCACTAGATTAAAAAGGATTATACTTAAAATAATAATAAACATGATTATTAATAAAAATTACTAAAAAGGATTATATTTATTGCCAATTCAAAAAGTTAAAGAGTAATTGATGTTTGCTTACTTTTTATCTGTTAACTTAAAGATGTTCATTTTTCCTTAAGTGGCTGCCTCCATCTAGAAACAGTGTGCCCTTAACCTGTCTCTTTTTTTTATATTAAATCTCCATTTTGGAAAAAACAGATAAAATTCATAGAATAGAGCTGATTCTTGTGCAATGTAGAGAACCACAGATTATGAAACTTCTTTTGAGAATAACTGTTACTATAGTCCCCTCCTGCTAATCCTTTAGCTATCTACTGAGTTACTAAAATAATAAAAATTATCTTAAATATTAAAAAAATAAAAACATACAGTCCATGGAATTCTCTAGGCTAGAATACTGGAATGGGTAGACTTTCCCTTCTCTGGGATCTTCCCAACCTAGGAATTGAACCCAGGTCTCGTGTATTGCAGGCAGATTTTTTTACCAGCTGAGCAACAAGGGAAGCCCGAGAATACTGGAGAGAGTAGCCTATCTGCTCTCCAGGGGAGCTTCCCAACCCAGAAATCAAACTAGGGTCTCCTACATTGCAGGCAGATTCTTTACCAACTGAGCTATCAGGGAAGCCCTAAGAAAAATTATAAACACCTAAATTTTCTTCTTTTGTAATTAACTATATATTCTAGCATGATCAGATAAAAAGATGTCATTTTTGATAACGTGTTTTTAGTAAAGGAGTAAAAAGCACTATCCTAAAAAAATTTAGTTTTATAAAGCAATCAGATATTATTGAATTGCATATTGCAAATTGTTTAATAGTAGTCAACTTTATGACTTCCCAGTGGTGCAGTAGTAAAGAATTCACCTGCCAGCACAGGAGATAGGAGTTTGATCTTTGGGTGGAGAAGATCCCCTGGAGGAGGAAATGGCAACTCTAGTATTCTTGCCTGGAAAATCCCATGGACAGAGAAGCCTGGTGGGCTCCAGTTCTTAGGGTCACAAGAGTCAGACACAACTGAATGACTGAGCATGCACACACAGTCAAATTTATACATGTGTAAAGTATTCAGATCAACTCACCCAATAGGCCTTGAAACAACAAGCTCCACCTGTGGTTCAGGTTTGGATTCCAGGATGATGTTATAGACTTCTTCAAACGTGGCTCCTTGCAATAGTCTTCCATTCCATTCCAGTACTTCATCACCTGTGGTGTATGTCAGCAATGATAATCTTAGAAAGAAAATTTAGCTTCACAAAATGCACTGAAAACAAATGCAATCTCAAACTGCAATGAACTTTGTAGAATGCAAGCACCATTACGGAATAAGAAACATACTGAGAACAGCTCCAATGGCATAAAATGTGATGACTGGGATGATTAGTAAATTTCACACAAAAGGACAAGGAAAGACCAGAGGAAAAGATTACGTAAAAGTCATCTCTGTGATATCTAGAATTATTTTCAATAGTGTCCTGTCCCTGAATAGCTGTTAGTTGTTCCTGCAAGGGGAAGCAAGTTGGGAGCAACCTACATCTCCAACTTGGTGACATCACTCTTGTCTGTTGTTTCTTAATAGAAATTGCAATTCTAGAAACTATCAAGATCAGTTGCCTCTTTGAAAAATGTATAACTCTGTATTCTAAGATTCTCAATATATATGTAGTTGAGCACTTGTCTAATCTCTTTTATAAAAAGTTTAACATTGATCATTCACTGAATCCTCTCCAAGGCATTCACGGATCTCTTCAATAGTATCCATTATCAAAGACATAAGGAGTGACACATTTCAGGAAAAACTATTTATCCATGAAATTTGCTTTCTAAATGATACTAGAAGTTCTTCAAAAGAAATAAGGCTTATGGGAAACAAATTATGCTAATCTGAGATACGGACTAGGAATATCCATCAACAAAAAAATAAGATCAGTAAATATAAAAATCTTTTTATCTACTGTAACTCAAGAACTAATAGCTACAACTTTCCATCGATGAATAAAAATTAATATTTAAGTTAAATGAAATTTTGGTTACCAGTGAAGTCACTTCTAAATGAGGACAACTTTTTCATAACTACTAAATTTAACAGTGTAAATAATCAAAAATCGAAACCTACCTGGTCTAAGATGTCCTACAGTATCAGCTAAACTTCCTTTTTTAACTTTGGTTATAAAAGCACAGAGCCGACCTGATTCAGTCATCTTTCCTCCTACAACCTGTTTAAAAGAAGAAAATGTTAAAACAGGCATTTTTGTTCAATTGAACACAGTTGAAGATTCAAGTAAAACATAACTAGATAATTTGCAAGTTTTGAAACTATAATTTATTATGTTAAAAATAATTTTTAAATAATATAGTGGTATTATTAGGAACTGAGTATATGTCAAGGTATATGTCAAAGTATACGTACTCCAAATGTTTTACAATTTAAGCAATTATTTGTTGAAAATGTTGCATACCTTAGAAACAATTTATAATTTCTGCCTTTATTACAGAACTCTTACTTTTGCCATTTCTAAAAATATGTTACTACACAATACTACATAATTACATATAATTACATTAACATTTCTAATTATAAATTTCTAGTTATAGATGACAAGTATCATACTACATACCTTGTTACTTTTACTATAATTATGATATCATCTAAAAATTTTATTAGTTGGTAATCTTTGGGGCACATTAATAACGTGCATGATGATGATGGATTTTTCCTAAGAAAATTACAAAATTTACTTAATCTCATCCAAATTAATGTAAACTTTAGGACCATCTGCATCCCAATTTTTCTGCTTCTATTACCACATATGTTTCAGAAAAAGAAAAAAAACAAAGGTTAGCATTAACGCGGTGGAATCATATGCGTAACTGTAAGACTAGTCTCTTACAAATTAATGCTTTGATTCTCAGAACTGCCAATCAATCAATATATCAACTTTGTAGCAAATTATGCAAAAATAGTAACTAATTTCACTGATTAGAATAGATTTTTTTTTACCCTCTTCTCAATTGACTGAAAGATACAGAATTTTAAAATTATTGATTTATCTTATTCCATGTATTTATTCCCCAACTGCAGTGAATAACACTCAGCGGCAGTTCAGTTAATATTAACTAATTATTCAAATGTTTCGTTCTGAAAATTACATGTATAGATAATATGGGCTGAAATCCCTGTTAATATATTAAAATTTTCTTGACTTGATAAACATTAATAATAATTATACTGACTATAATTATTATCATTGAAATCTCAGAGTGCCAGGCACAGCACTAAATGTTTGTATATTGCTTTATTTAATCTTACTAGATAATAATTCTCAGTATTATTATCTCCGTTGTACAGATGAAGGGTCTGAGGCTAAGAGAAGTTTAGTTGCCTAGTGTCACATAGCTAGTAACTGCTATAAACAGAAGTCAAGCCAAGGCATCCCGACCTCTATACTATACTGCAGTTCTAACTCTACACTGGGCAGATCTGGATTTAATTCTCACCTTCATCACCATCTTTGAGTCCATGGGCAAGTTACAATACCTTGCTAAACTTATTTCTTATCTGAGAGTCAGTAAAATGATAAGGTGCTCAAACGAGTGCCAGCCACATGGCAACCACCCAATAAATGATGCACAGCTTTATTTACAATCAAAATTTTCAAATATCTCTTCCTGGATTCTATACAACTACTTCTGTAGCAATGACTCAATTCTAAAACTCTCTTTGCATTTCAGTTTTTTATTCACCTTACAGATACACAAAAAATAAACAGAACCTTCTTTGGTGTACTTAACAAATAATTGTCTGATATTTTACAGTAAAATACAAATCAGTATTTACATTAAATCTCCTAACATAAGTATTTCTGAGTTTTTAGACTTCAAACAATATTCTCTTTCTCTCTCACACACACAAACACACACAAACACATACATATTTTGCTATGCTAATACAGATTATATTCCTATGTAATATATATATCTCCCACATTTGCACATTTAATAATTGAACAAAGCTATCATTTTAATAGAATAGAAACACATACATAGACCTGAAGGACAACTATAGGTAAAATAAGCTTAAGCACTCTATTTAGAATTCAAGTATATAACTCAAGTTCTATTTTCCAAAACTAAATAAATATGTATTACTGTAAAATAATGGCAACTTCTTAACTAATACTTGGAAATGAAAAGGTTTCGAAAAATGAGTGCAAATATTTAGGAATTCTTGAAAATGGAAAAAAAACACTAAATTGGTATAGAGTTATTGTATCTTTTGCTTTTCTGATAAACCTATAAAGGAATATAGAGCATCTCACATATTTCATCACATACCTTCAAGCCAAGCATTGCTCCTGAATCTCGAGGTACACTTCCATCTTTTAAACGCTTATTTAATAAAATGCGACCAATTAAACGATCTCCATCTTTAGATGGCTGCCACGTCACAGGGTGCTGACATATTGCATCAATAAACACAAAAATTAATGTTCTTTTATGATAAATGATCCTTTATTGTACAGTCTCTCTAAACTTGCAATTTCCAAAGTGTTATGATTACACAAACCAGCTTTCAGTCAAAACATTGGTCAAAAATTTAATAAGATGATAAGACTATGCTTATAATCTTATTTTAATATCTCAAGTTTGTTCAAAAAACCAGTTACTTCAAAATCTAACATGCTCTGACACAATACCGAAGTTATATAGTTCTACAAAAACTGATAAATCTTAAAAATATATGCAGACTCTAATTATCTACATACTGAAGATTAAAAAATGATAGGCAGAAAAGAGACTCTAATTCTATGCAATTGAACTCATTTAAAAATGAGAATTTCATCTTCAAGCTCTTCTGGAAGACTTTGAAAGACTCTATTACAGTAAAAGTTAAAAGGTCAAGCTAAATTAAAATATGAAAACTGAAGAGGGTTTTCTTGAGATAGGTTTCTAGATAAAAATTATTAAAAATACACAAGGCTAGGTAACTTTCCAAATGAATGTGCATGGGAGAAACAGGTCCAATTCAAACATGAGGACAGATTATATTGCTCATTTTTTGGAGGTTTCTTGACTCTTTCAGGTTTCTGATCTATTTATTTGATAATTCAAGGGTACTGTTAAACACTGTTAAACAACCTTGAAAATATTAGTTTTTCTCAAGCCTTTTCTAAATCACGACACAATTCCATTATATATTATATGTCAAATAACAAAGTAAACGATTTGTGTAATCACAGTTCCACAGCTATCTAAAAGTTAACATGCACATCTTCATGCAAAATTTAGCAGGCAAAAGACAATTTTCAGTAAATCACATCTATATGATAAAAAGATTTCAAAATTCCCACTATACTAAAAGCAAACAATAAATACCAAAGCAGATGGCAATGGCTCTAATACTAATTGATACTACATTAAAATGCTATGACAATAAAACAAAAGAGCAAAATGACAGTGAAAGGGAAAAAAGAAAAACAACTTTTTCTGTGCAAACAGACCCAATTATCTCCCTTTTACCTGGGATTCAAACTGTCAATGATTTAATTTTCATCCCAAGGAAAATATATGCAAGCAGTCAAATAAGCCAATCCAAAAAAAATTCTTTATATTTGTGATTTATAATAACATTACCAAGTTCTTTCATGCGACCATAAACAAAACATTCCATTGTTCCTAATTTTTATTTTCATTTACTTATTTTTTTGTATGCCGTCAAAAAGCAAAAACAGCAAAGCAAGCAAGAAGTATTTTGGTTGATTGGTTTGTTTTGGTTTTGTTTTTCTTTTCTGCACCTTAAGAAATGCTATATCGACCCCTGAAATGCCCTGTCCTTTTATTATGTTCCGTTTGAATGAGTGACAGAGCAAACGAAGACCAAATGAGCGGGTTAGAAGGCAGGCTCCGCAGTCTCAGTACCTCATCACTACGGCTATGCTCCTCATTAAGGGTTGTGCTACTACACGTGTCTACCCCAGAGTCCTTAATCTGAGGCTCAGACCATTCCAAGTCCTCTTCCAAAGAGTGGCCGCCAAAGCACATCATTTTCTCTTGTCTCTCAGACCTGGTGTTAGAGTCCGACAAAACTGCCTGCTCACTAGTTTTTCTTTTTCCCTTTTGACTGTCCCCTACAGGTGTGGGATAAAAAAAAAGAAAAAGATACAAAAAGAAAACATGCAAAGGTGTAAATCCAAAAGGAAAAGTGAAATGATAACAGAAATTAGATAGTAAGGCCCCACATGTCTCACCAAAGACATTGGGGATGCCTCACTGCTATGCCAAGACGTATGGTCCAACCAGTTGTGATCCACATCTCCTGTGAGAGTCAGACAGACAAAAGAGGGAAGTAAAGGAGACGGCGAAAGAAAGGGCAGACAAAGGCATAATCAACATTTTAAACGGTGTGATCCCCTCCAGTTTTAAGTACTTTATCTGTAAGCACACACAATGTATACCAAGAGAAAGCTAAGATTTCGAGTAAATTTATAGAATGCAGAATACTTATGTACTCTAGACAAACTCTACAGAACAAAACTGCTGCAAGAAAAGAGATAGCTACTACTAAACAGGAATATAAAGGAAAAAAATTATATATTCTGAAAAAAAGAAAAAGACTTTCAGCGATGTCTGTTACTCATGCTATTTTTTTGATGCTGGCCTACAGACATAAGTTTGTTCCCCAAAGATTAAGAAGCATTTAAAAAATTAAACAGTGGATTGCTAATAACCACTATAATGAAAAATGAAGTAATTAAATGTTTCTGGAATATAGTATGACATTTCTTAATGCTGAAACCTCCTAAAATTTTTGAGTGATTAAAAAAAGAATTGGTTACACAAAAGATTAAATCTATATGAAAATGACAAAACAGGTTCACTCAACTTCTGTTAGTAAATATAAACTTCCCTTAAATATCATGAATTACTTGACATTATTTTGAAGCAATTTTTCAAGTTTTTTTCAGAAATTTCATTCTCCTAAAAATAAATTTTCTACTTAAATAATTTTTCAGGTAATTTGTGTAATTGGCATTTCTCAAACTTATGTGCTCCTTATTTGTCTTACCTTGGAAAAGAAGTTTTTCATCTACATGTGCACATCTTGTTAAGCTCTATTCATATTTTCATATATTTAAAAATATTTATTAAACACTTTCATATTGCTGTGTATTGTGCTAAACCTCAAGGTAAGGGGTAAAACAATGAGACATTCAGCAGAAAGGAAATAAACATAAATAAATCATCAGTGTCATATAGGATGTGCAAAACACTGAAAGAGTATAATAGCATTTAATTTAGATTTGGGGGTCAGCAAAAACCTCTGAAGAAGTGATGTTTGAGAACTGAAATATGTGACCTATAAAGGACAGATAAAGATACAGGCAGATGGAAAGCAGAGGAAAGCATTCCAGGAAGAACAGGATGGTTCTGCACAAAACCCTGACGGAACCAGCGTGCCTGAACCAAAGAGAACAAGGGAGAATGTGGTACTACCTGAGACTGGAGAGGCAGCACCAATCCGCTTAGAGAGGTCTTTCACACCATATTAAAGATCATGAATTCCATTCACTGAAGGATTTTAAGCAAGATGGTGACATGATCTGATTTACATTTTAAAAAGATGAATCTAAGTACTAAAGAGAGATTGGGTTGGAAGACACCATGAGTTAAAAGACAGCTGTAATAACTCACAACAGGTGATTATGACTTGAACATAGGTGATGGTATCAGACATGGTAAGGAAAGAGGAAACTGAGAGATGTTTCAGGGGTATAAATGAGAACGTTAAGTAAGACAAGCATCAAGGATAACTCTCAGGTTTCTGACATTAATAAATAAAAGGAAGTAAAGACCATTTATGAGAGGGAGAAGCACTTTTTTTAGTGAAGGGAGAGAAAAGAGTTACTTTATTTCATGGAATCTGTAAGACTCATACACATTAAAATGATAAAATATGCATCTTAGGTATTATTCCAAACACCTATAAGTTACTCAGGAACTCAATTAGTGAAATTATAATAAAGCTTAAAAGGAAAATCTGAGCTGGAGACATAAATTGGGAATTATTAGATCATTTGATCTAGGAATAACTAGATCATTTAGGAAGAGAGGGTAAAATAAGATACGAAGAGGACCTAGAATGAATTCTAACAGAGTTTGATTTGAGATAAAGGAAAGAGAGAGAATGAGAAAGAGCATGCAGAGATAGAAAAAAAGAGGGAGGCAGAGATAGAGGTCTCCAGACCAAATAAAAACTGAGTTTCCTAAACAGGAGGAGAAAACAACAATAAAATGATTTCTACATGTCAGGTAAGATAAGGAACTGAAAATTACGAATTTGATTTGGCAACATTAATATCAGAAAGGATGTTAGAAAAAGCACTCTAGATAGAAGGATGAAATTGAAACCAAACTGAAGTAGCTGAAAAATCAAAGAAAGATGAAGTAGAAAAATTATGTGTAGATGACTGGTTCAAAAAATCCTTAAAATAACATAATCAACATTGCCCAGGCACTTGTTAAAAATGCAAATTCTTGGGTACCACCTAGATTTAATCAGAAATTCTGTAGGTGTTTTAACAAGAAATTCTGTAGCCTTTAACAGTCCACCAGGTGATTCTGACCTCACTGTTGGAGAACAACAGGAGACAAGTCTTTTGAGAAGTTTATTTGTAAAGAATGATAAAGCTGTACTTTCTAACATGCCCAAAGTTCAACTGGTACAGAAAAAGAACCCATTCTTCAACCTGTAAACTAGAGAAGTGCTTCCCAATCCTTTTCACGGCACAAAAAGACAATCAAAGAGTTGACAGCTACCCATAACCCTGAGCATATCTGAATCTCAGAAAACCTATAACTCTTTCAAAATAATTATTATTCCACTATAAAGCACTGATAAATCTCTGAATTGGAATAAAGATGGAAACCATAAATAAAATTTTTTGACTGGTTTATGTGAAGATGTGAGAATTCAGCTTGCAGTCTCACTTCTTTCCCTGTGCCTGCAAACTACTGAAATTGCAGAAATAGTTTTTCCAAAAAAATCACCCATGTAACCATTTGCAGCTAAACTGAAAATATGTGGCTAAAAAAAAACAAAGTTGTCACAAATGGTAACCCATCAGTAAACATTTCTTACATGAGTAAATATTAGTGTTACTTTAAGAATTAAATAAGGTTATCAGTGCAAAACATATAGAAAATAATCCTCAGGACTGTTAGTATTTAGAAAATAATACTTATCACTTAATATTCTTATTTTATTTAGCTTCAAAGGGCAGAACTAAGATAATAAAATGTCCTTCCTTTAGTACCAGTACAAAAATTTATTGTTTAACTTTCTAGCTCTAGAACAAGACATGGAAGCCAAGAGGACCAAGTGGAAATTTTAGAATGTTTTGAAAAATGACTGAAATGCAAAAAGCAAACGGATGGATTCAACAGCAGAATGGAAAGCACAGAGGAACAACAATGAACTTGAAAATAGAACAGAAATTACACAATCTGAAAAACAGAGAGAAAATAGAGTAAAAAATAAACAGAGCCTCAGGGACTTCAGGGTTTATAATCACATAATTAAAATACCAAAAGATTCATGCCATTATAGTTCCAAGGGAGAAGAAAGATGGAGTTGGAAAGTATTTGAAGAAATTAGGAATGAAAATTTCCCAAATTTTCAAAACATGTAAACCTACTAATTCAAGAAACTCCATAAGACCCCAAACAAGAAATATGCAAAGAAATTTGTGCAGAGATACATCATAAACAAACTAGAAACTAAAAACAAACTGTTTTTTGGTTTTGCTTTTTTTTTTGAACCCAGAAAGAAAGAAACACCACCTTATCTAAAGGGAAAAACAATTCCAAAGACAGTGATAAATCTTCCATCTGAAAGCTTGAAGGCCAGAAAGAAATGACACAGTATTTCGTAATTGTTGAAATAAAAGAATTGTCAACTCTGAATACAAAACACGGTGAAAATATCTTTCAGAAATGAATGAGAAATAAAGACATCCTCAGACAAAAGAAAATGAAGAGAATGCGTCACCAGCAAACTTACCCTAAAAGAATGGCTAAAACATTTTTGAAAATGTGGAAACTAAAGTAAAACAAAAAGAAGAAACCTGACAATATCAAGAAGGAATAAAGAACACGGTAAGTAAAACTATGGGTAAATACGATAGGCTACCCTCCTCTTTAGTTTTCCAAATTATGTTGATGTTTGAAATAAGAAGTATACATCATCTGATATGCCTTTCACCATACATAGAAGAAGTAGGTATGATAATTACATTATAAGAAGGGAAAGGTAAAAGAAATTAAAGTATGTAAGGTTTCCACCTTTCTCTCTGACTAGTAAAATGTCAACACCAGCATATGTAAGTTACACATATGTAATATACAGATTCTTTACCAGCTGAGCCACCAAGGAAGCCCCATAGTACCTACAGCAACAACTAAATAAAATTATTTGCAAAGAAATACTGAAAAACACTACAGATGAATTAAAATGCAATTTTTAAAAAACAATTCAAATAACCTATAGATAGCAAGAAAAAGAAAACAAAAATAAAAAGCAAAAGGAAGAAGCAAAAGAAAAAGCAAACAAGAAATAAGCAGACTAATCCCCTCATGAATATAGACACATAAATCCTTAACAGAATATTAGCAAATGTAATTCAGCAATATATAAAAATATTTATAGACTCTGACCAAATGGGACTTATTTCTAGCATGCAAGGCTGGTTGAATATTAAAAATCAGTGTAAGCTGTCATATAAGTTTAAAAAAAAAACATGATCCTATTAATTGACAAAGGAAAAAAAATCACAATAAGAAAAACAGAAAACAAGAAATGAGGAGAACTTGCTCAAATAAATAAAGGATATCAACCAAAAACTTACAGCTAAGATCATATTGTACTTAAAGGCAAAAGGCAAAGTGCTTTATATGAAGAGAAATTTCACGAAAAAGAATATCTCTATTTGTAATAGTTAAAAAGTAGAAACAAGCAAAATGTCCTTTAATAGGCAAATGGCCATGTCAATGTATGGCGGGACCACTACAATATTGTGAAGTAATTAGCCTCCAAATAAAATTAATAAATTAATATTTTTTAAAAAATTGT